TCCTTGTTATATATATATAATGAGAGAAAGAGATCTACTACCTTTCCATTCCTATAATGAATTAAAATGAAAAGTAGAGGCTTTCTGCATCCTCAAACTAAACCAACTGAGCCTATTCATAATGATTTTACACACAACTAATACAAATAACAAGGAGATAAAAGAAGTGATCATTTACTTAGAGTCATTAAAAAAGCATGGCAACTGTCACAGAAAAATGGTCCCTGGGAAAAGTATAACCATTTTGAAAATAGGACAGGTCCTCTCTGAATCGCCCCATGTGGACAAATCCATACCTTCAGCCTCATTACTGACTGTAAATATGTAGAAACTTTTGCCCTGTGAGCACACAGCCCTGGGGTTCTGAATAACAGATTAAGGTAAACTCACAATGATAGCCAAGCAGGTGCATTTCCAGTGAGGTCTTTCAGAGATGAGCTAAGATGTTGTCATAGCTCACATGGTTAACTGATTAGGATTGATGTGATAAAAAAGAAACCGCCCACATCTTTGGTTTTCATTTCTTGGTTCTTCACAAAGACATAGAGCAGCTATTGTTATTGGCATGTGTAGTTTCGATCTATCACCCACAGCTCATGACAAACGAGCAGCAGACCTTCACTGCAGAGGTGAGGTCACACTGAACAGGCCAAGTGCCCATACTCCAATTACACATTTGTGACGTGGTTACATCCCCCACAGGAACGACCAAGGGGAATAAGAGAAGAACCTCCCTCAAGTCAGAACAAGCTGAGAAGGTGAGATCTTCCCCAGATAATGAATGACTCATTGTGGGCAAATCACAGTATCTGTCTCCTCCTGTACTTCTTTACTCCTACTGTGATCATGTCTCCATGCAGAGTGAATGAACGCATGTCCTGGTGTCAACTGAGCATCTACTATAAAACCTAACATTCATAGGCATTACTTCAGTTAATCTTCACAACAACCCTAAGAGACTGCCTTGTCATCACCATATCACTGTAACTTAGAGAAGCTAAGGGACATGCTTGCAGTCTCAAAGCCAAGGCTTTCAGAACAATCCTTAATTTTGAGTTCTGGCCCTTCCCATGGCACTAAATCTGCCTCCTGTGACTGTGACATGAAGAGCCCTTGACTCCTTCCTGGGCTCCCTTCCTTCTCTTTTTAAAAAAGATTTTATTGATTTATTTTTAACACAGGAACAGAGAGGGGATGAGAGAGAGAGAAAGAGGGAAACATCAATGTGAGATCGAAACATCAATCGCTGCCTCCTGCACACCTCCCACCAGGGATCTAGCCCACAACCTGGGAATGTGCCCTGACTGGGAATCGAACTGGCAACCTTTCAGTGCCTGGGAAAATGCTCAATCAACTAAGCCATACCAGACAGGACCTGGGCTCCCTTCTTGATTCCTCCTTCCCCCATCCTAAACCCTAGGGCTATCTTTGGAAGTTCAAGCTTAGAGAGCTGAGTGCCATGGTGCTAGCAGTGTACCCCACAGCCCCCCATTATGCTTCCTGATGAAAACCTCTCACTTTCAGTCACTGAAGAAGTCAATGCTTGGGTGTGGGAGGGTTCTCTCTAACCTATGACCACAGGACCAAAGCCCTTGTCCTTTGACATGACTATAGTTTCTTGGTAGGTTGTCATAGAGCACAGACTATTTCATGAAATATTAGGTAAGAATTCTCCAGCTATGAACTGAGAAATAAGTTACAGATACATAGGACATGTGTGCTAGGAGAGAAAGCAAATGACTCCTTGACATTGCCTTGGTTCTATTTAGTTCTGCTCAGGCTTCTCACTTCAGTCCTTCTTAGGCTACCTGTGCAGATGTCTATCTTTCTGTGTGTCATTTAAGAATGAAACATTTAAGCCAAAAGGAAGTTGTACCTACTATATGACAGGTGCGCTGAACACTCGGGGAAAATATAAGTTGTTTTTTTTTAACACATGGGCCCTGCCTGCATTCAAAGAGCTCACAAAGAGCATAAGAAACATAAGGCAAATACTGAATATTGTGTATAGCTATAATGTTATAGCACTAATAGAGAAGTCATAGAAATCTGTAATGAAGGTGAACCATGAAAGGAAAAGAGGAGTTTTTAGGGAAAAGGGAAGCAATGAGTACTGCAGGTAAGAGGAGCAACAGGGCCAAGATATGCATGTATTCATTTGATTAATATTTACTGAACATCTTTTTGCTAATTTCTTGGTTCTTGCATGAAACTCCTTCCACTAGACAAGCATTCCCCCAATAGGTGCAGCTTGAAAAAAGAAATCTGTGGTCAAAGAGGCCTAAGGATGCTGCATACCACATCCATCTATGGAGACCTAAGTATACATACTAGCATATTAAAGGCTCTGAGAAGTCCTGCAGTAAAGAAACCTTTTCAGTGTTGTTTAACCTAGAACTTTCCAAATTTACCTGATCACAGAACCCTTTTTCTATACTTGACACCTATTTCCATCCAGAGAAAATACTGATCAAGGAAACACTGCTTTACATCAGGATAGGAGGGAAATGGGGGGGGGGGGTCTGTGACAAATCTACATGGGAGCTAACTCTGACTGGATAAGGTGACAGCAGCAACAAAGGAGATTAAAGCTTGTAGACAGGAAGAGTCAAGAGACCCTGATAAAGGATTAGGAGGAGCTAGTCTGTGGTTCCTGCTAATGAGAAGAGTTAATCACAGTGCAGACAATATAACGTAACAAGCCAATGACACACATATGAGGCAGTGACAAGTTTAGAGGAAAAACCTTCCCAAAAACTGTATGAGCAAGCAACTGGTACTACATTGCTCAAAAACTGTTTCTTGAGGGAAGACCTTATATGTCAGATTATAATCTATATAATCTTTAAGGCAGATCTCAGTTTTCTGCCTTTCAAGCTTAGGGTGATAGCTCATAACGATTCACTCAGTTACCCAGTGCTTATAATTTATAAAGTGCTCTACAGATGCCTGCTCTCACCTGATGGTCACCATAGGCACTAGAAGCAGAGAAGGCAAGAGTGCGGTAAGGACTTCCCGAAGTCAAGCCTGGAATGGAGACCAGGTCTTCTATCTCTTCCCTCCTTCTGCTCCACTGTAATTCTAACTTTCTGGGACAGCCCTAGTCTAAGATGTCCTATGATCCCTGCCCCTAACACCATCAAAATATCCCAGAAATTATACTTCCAGATCCAATTCATCTATCCCTTCTGGAAGGGGCCCAAAGATTCCTTTTTTGCTCAAATTCCTCTTGGTAAATAGGGTCAATTTAATAGATGACAAGATTTTCAGAAAACTTTCAATCATTATTTAGAAAACTTATACAAGGTAATAGAATACGCTAATAGTTTTGTCCACCTAGATTTTTTTTTTAAGTGAAGTCAGCAACTGTACTCCCTAATGAACAGAAACTCACATACACAAAATCTAAATGGCAGCACACACAACAAATCATTTTTGGCTTTGAGCTCTATTTCTCTACTTAAATATAGCTCGGTTTGAAGCCTGGAGGAAATTGTTTCTCCCCAGATAATGAAACTGTACTTGGAAAGCCATGTTTTTGTGCTCCTCCCTGATGTAATTCTTCCCTGTCATGCTCGGTGATGCTTGATGCACCCAGAGCTCCTTTCTGAAGGCTGCAAAACATCAGCCCAGCAAAGAGGCTGTCTTGAAAGTGCGCAGGAATCAAGGAAATTTCAGATAGGCTAGCTGATACACATGTGTCAAAGAGTACAGGGAAGGCAAGGTCTAATACCTACCCCACTGGTTCTAAACCTGGGGTGATTTTACCCTTTACCCCCTCAGGGAACATTAGGAAATGGCTGGAGACAGTCTTGGTTGTCACAATGGGAGGAGGGGGAGCTCCTGGCACCTAGTGGGTAGAAGCCAGGAATGCTGCTCAACATCTCAGTGTATAGGACGGCCCCCATCACAGTTATCTGGCCCAAAATGTTGATAGTGTCAAGGCTGAGAAACCCTGCACTGTTAACAAAGCAAACAATGAGTGCTGTCAATAAACCTGAATGCAGTAATGACACAGAGTAACTGTGCTCGGTCCTATGGATTCTGACACAGTGAAATAATCTGGATATCCCAGCTGACTGCCACATTATACCTGTTAGGCTGAAATACCAATACAGCTAGTTTTCAAATCTGTTAATGAATGTGGATAAGAAGGAACATATTGGATTAAAGCCATGACAACAGGCCATCATCTTGACCAATAAATATATCATTGAAGTAAATATTTGAGAGTACCAAACAGTGAAGTGGGTATATGTTTTAACTGACTCTCTCTTTAAAAAAAATAAAAATGGCAAATATTTAAACTGTAAAAATAAACAAAAGGTACAAGTGGGAGAACTAAGTCAAGTGTGAAAGCTGAGGACCAGCTCATAAACTAAACTGATTTCATGTGCCTAACGTCCATCGCATTAATTTTTTGTGGCTCGCTATGACAGAAATGGGTACTTCTTGACAGCCACCAGGACATCTCTGTTCCAATAATGTAATACTATAGTGTTCTTGGCAAGCCTGCACTCCTCCAGTTAGCTATGTCATAAGGTTCACCCACACTAACAAAATTTAAAATAATTATAAAACATTTGATTTCAGGAGACACAGAAATACCTGAGGAAGTGGTCTCTGAAATAAGAAACCGACTAGCTCTCCAGTAAGATGTGAGGAGAATCACCTTTACTGTCATTTATCATTAGCTTTTAGAAATCCCAGAAGACAGCATAGGTTGCAGAAAAAGAAAACAACTCAAGTGAGAAGCATCTTTTTGCAGTGTAGAAAGAAAATGGAGGTGCAGAATATTTTTCCAAAAAGAAAAGATATTAAAAATGCAAAATGCTACTTCTTTTATACTACATGAAAAAAAAATCACAAAACCAAATTGGAGGGCATTCCAAGTCATCTGCTACAGACCTGAAGGCTGTATATTATTTCACATGTTGTACTACAGATTAATAGAAAATTTTAGAAGTAGGAGAAAAAAAAAAACTAACCTTAAGGTTATCAAAGGTTTTGACAGTCTGCGCCAAGTCACTGACACTCCCTGGTGATGTTGTCCCCTGTCCCCTAGGACCTGAGGACACCTGTGAGCCGTCAATGACCTCAAAGCCAGAAAGCAAGGCCTCTGAACAGCCGCAATGAGACTCCTTCGCTCTCTGACCCGCTATCAGGTATGTCTTCAAACCTATGGATAAAAATTACAGTCAGCACAAGTTGAAACCACCGTTGGTTGAAATGCAGCTCCATCTTGCTCTCTGTGCAGGACCTGCTCCTAAAAAGTTGAAAGTGAAGTGAAACTGTGAATATGTCATATTTTATTGCTGACTTCCATCTTTTCAGAGATGCGCAGCCTCAGGGGAACATTTGACTCCAAGAGACACCATTTACTCATATTATGTTTTCTCTAAATGATGGCTGCACATTTTATCTTTGGGGGCTGAAATAAGCATTAAAAAATTCCTCCTTGAAAGGGTCACATGACCTCTTTGTGACAGCAGCAGAGCCAAATGATGGTGGACCCTCTACATTTCTTGGGTTTATTTTCATCTCACAATACCAGTCACTGACACATGCAATGGTAGGTCTAGTTAGTTGTAAGGGTAATCTAGAGTATGGACCATTTGACCTGTATCAGGGATTGCAAAACTACCATGAAAAGTGAGATCATACTATGCACCAACAGGTAATTAAAACCTTCCTTGATTCAAATTTAGTGAGTATCTATTTTCTGTTGAATCCAGACATCCATAGCATAAACATCTGTATTTTGTCCAGCTGCAGGCTACGTGAACTTATCCTCTCACAAAGTCCTCATTTTTAAAAAACTTGGTTAAATGGACAATTTACCTACATCTTTGCGTTCTTGTTAAAGGCTGAAATAACACACTAATGTGCACTGCGCTGGGAAGCAGCTGTGACAGGCACACAGGTCCTTGCTCTGGGTGTTCAGAACCATCTTCTGGGGAAACATGAGGAGGAGCTTTTCCAGGCAGAGCTCAACGGATTTCCGAAACAGAAGCAAATCTGATTTAAAACATTTTTTAAAAATTCTCACCCGAGGATATGTTTTTATTGATTTTTATAGAGAGAACGGGAGAGAGAGAGAACATCAATAGATTGCCTCCCATACTCGCCCCAACAGGGGATGGAACCCACAACCTTCTGGTGTACAGGACAACGCTCCAACCAACTGAGCCACGCAGGCCAGGGCAGAAGTGAATCTGATTAAGTAAATCCATTGTTAGTCCTCACTGGAATTTAAGCAGACTGTAAATGTATTGAAGGGGGTAACAATGTAATTTACTCAATAAACCTTTATTTTAGGCCTGGTGTATGTTATACAGGGTGGGGCAAAAGTAGGCTTACAGTTGTGAGTATGGGAAACACAGCTGTGAGTATGGGAAACAGAGTTTACTACTGTATTATTATTTATTAATTATTGTATTATTTACGAACACATGTAAACCTACTTTTGTCCCACCCTGTACACAGAGAATAAAATCAAGAACAAAATGGGCCTGTCTTGGAGAGTTTAAGCTCCAACATAAGGTGGTAATGAAAAGCTGTCATGGAAACACTCAATCAAGAGGTGATGTCTCTACACTGCCAAACTGTACAGTTTCTTACACTCAGTACATATTTTTAAAATGTTTTAAAATCAATTAATCAAATAACCTAGGGACTACTTAATCAATAATCCTTAATCATTTTATAATTATACCATCAATTCACCACTTAATCTTTGTTCATCTCCTCTCTCCTCATAATACTATATGGTGTATGTTTTTAGGTCAACCTTCTAAGAATTTGGCAAGAGCCCTTAAGATACCTAGAGACAACCCTGAGTACAGCTAAACCCCAGGTGGGAAACAGAAGACTTAGATAAATAATTTTAGATGCTACTACCCCAAAGAAGATAGTTACATGCTCACTGTTTAACTAAAGTCCTGAACTTCCTTTTTATTTCCTCCAACAAATATACACATCCCAATTTATGTATAGGATCAATCACAGTTTAACTAATTACATGCATAATCCTGAACTAGAAATGTGAACTAGAATACAATGGAAGAGTAAAAGCAACTTTATATGAATTTCTCAGGCTCTCATCACAGATAATACTGAATTGATTTTGTCATTTCATCTTGGGAGAGTTGAAAAACACAACCTTTGTGTGCTAACCAGAGAAAAGTCCTATTTCTGGCCTGTCTTAGAGTCTCTGGGCTAGCAGGGCTTATTCCTAGTTCATCATAGGAGTGCACGAAAAGGGTGGTTCCTAGAGCTGCTCTAATGGTCTCTCCCCTGACTCCCAAGGGAGCATATGCTGTCACTGCAAAGAGACATCTGGGAGACCAGGAAGAGGGAAGACACTTTTTTTATTGCAGGAGGTGAGAAGCTGCCACTGAAGGGAGAGGTTTTCCATTGTCTGCAGCTGGTCCTGACCCCCAGAAGAGTGTTTCCTGAGAGATGCCACTGGCTCAAGGCTTCCCTGGTGGAAGCTGCTGCTCCCTGTGGTAAGGACTGTCAGGAAGCATGAAGCCAGAGAGGCCCTGTTCTCAGCTCTCAAACCCAGGAAGAGTCCTTGGTCAGGTAACTGCCTATCCCCTCCCTATGCAGCTCCAGACCTGCAAGAGCCATTGAAGGAGGCCTTTCCTGGAGGTATAACAGGTAAAGCTGAGAAAAGGCTGCACCAGCAGATGTGAAGGGCAGCAGCCTAAGTCCCACCAAGACATGCATGATGCTGAAGCCAGCACTTTAAAGCAGGAGGATGCCCACCACCAGGGAGGGTGAAGCAATAGCACCCAGCTCTGTAGTCACGAGCTCTGACGCTGCCTTAGGGTGCACATCCCTGAGGTTTGTTGTAACTACTGTGAATTGTGACCATCGAGTCACTGCTCATTTATCACTTATTAAGCACTTCCTATTTACCATGCACTGTGACGAGTGCTGGGAGAACAAGCTAGAATAAATCAGCTCTGACTCCTACCTGTATGGGACTATCACTTGAAGAGGGATCTAGACAGCAGGCAGGATGAGAAAGTGATGGTGCTCTGGAAAGCACAGGAGGGCAGCACCTTGCAAAGACTTGGAGGTTAAGGAAGGCCTCCTGGATGAAGTGAAAGACAAAGAGAGGTCAGCCCAATTAAAGCCAGCAGGGCCAGGGGCTGAGGCAGCTGTCATCAGGCTACAAGTGCCACTACATGAGTACATGAACAGGCCCTCCAAAAAGGGAGCTTTTGACAGGCAGAGTCGAGAGATGGAAGTAAGTTTAGTGAGACTGGAACAGAGAATGAGTGTGGGTGAATCACCAAAGATGATCTGGGACCATGCATGTGAGGTATAGATCAGCTCCAAGAGTCTTCATGCTGGGGGCAACAGGGAGGGTGTGAAGAGTGGTGAGCAGGCCCAAGGCTTAGGAAAGGCCAGGGAGCTGTGGAACTGCCAGCCACAGTGGGTGGGAAGGAGTTAGGGAACATGGGAGTCAGGAAGTTAATGGTGGGAACAGGAACCTACTCCTCCCAAATGTGGTGGTGACAGCACAGTGCTTCTACACCAGGCCCTGGAGAGATGGGTAAGGGTGCAGCTTCTGCAGAGCAGCCTCAAATTCACGCTCCATCACCTCCTCACTGCATGACCTAGAGTAAAATGCCCCAGCACTCTGCATCTAGGTTTCCTCATTGTGAGGTAAGGTTAAGAATAGGACTCACCCACATGGCTCACATGAGGATTAAACAATGAACACATGTGGAGGCTTTACAACAGTGCCCGGTACAGAGTAAAACTCAGCAACGTAAGCTATTATCATCAATGTGGATGTTTAACCTGCTTATCACTGGAGTCTTTTTCATGCTCCTTCTATGGACAAAAGCATATGCAAAATGGTTAAATCAATAATTGCCCTGAATTTGTTTCTTATTTGAATTTTTCTTTAGGAAGCCCCCAACTTGCAGTGATGACACACTACTGCTAGTATTCCCAAGGTCAAACGTACATATGTATCCATGGCGAGCAAAATTAATGAACAAATTAAGTATCTTTTTATTTTTGCTTTGATACAAAGCTAAATTTAAAATGAAACCTTTTGCCAAAACTAGAGGGACATCAGCATGATAAAGTAAGGCAGAGCTTAGCTGTCTAATGTAAAATACCCAGGAAATGTATTAGGTCTGAGTGGCTGAGTTCCAGCCTTGTCAAGTCTAAGGCAAGAGGGTTTATAAGAGATAAGAATTTAATGAGTAACCACGCATGTGGATCCTGGGGTCCAAGTTCATAAGAATGGTTCTTTAGAAGCAGAGGATCAAAATGAGGCAGCTAAATGATTTTTGTTAAGTATAATGTAAACAGGAGAATAACAAGATTTCTTATGTTTTTTTTCCTGGTAACTGATTTTAAACCTCACCAGCATTTATGCTTTTTATCAAAGCTTAATTTTACAAAGGCTGAGGGGTGGGGTTACACAATTCCTATTGGGCTCCTGTCTGACAGAGGAGCTTGTCTCTGGCTGCTTGTTTCGAGGAGAGTGACGTGGTTAACATTCTTAAGCCTTCTTAAGTATATTATCAATTATTTCAGGACAAAAACTGTGCCTTGCACACACAACTGGTGCTTAGTTTTGGTGAACTGAGTGTAATTCGAGTGGATGCCATAGTCCAGTTTGGAAAAGAAAGGCTATTCTGGCCTCCTTCCTGTATCATGGTCTTGTCTTCTACGGTGGGATGTCTGCTTTGGAATGAGATATCCTCAATCACCAAGAATCAAGGACCTGACAACCCAACAGAAAAAGGAGAATAATCAGGAAGAAAAGAATGTTTGAAGGCACAGCCTTGGGAGTTAGCAGCATAATATAACAAACTCCAAGGAGCTTGCATCGCCAGTGACTTGAAACAATATCCATAAGAGAGGCAATCAGATTGGGCTAGTTCATGCTAAGAGTTACTTCACCTTGTATCACAGTTTTCTTTATAACTAGGTCTGTAATGGCTGAGTAGCATGAAGATTATTTAAACTAAAATCTAGTCAGTCAGTAAGAAAAATAAAGATTAAAAGTGCTCATAATATTAATCTACCAAATAACCCAGGCCTACAAAATTATAGACAGGGCATTTCATAATTATCTATTGCTCCTGCTTAAGAAGAACAAAAGTTTTGGTGAAAACAAAACATTTTTTACTTTGTTGACATTAA